TAGGGAAGGAAGATGATGATGCCATTAGTGACTCGTCGTGCCCTTCAGCAATGAGCAGCTTCCAAAAGAACGCATCATCGTCTTACAACAATGGCAAGAAAACGAGAAAGAACCTTTCGAAAAGAGAGTCTTTGGCCTCTTCTTCTTCAGAGTTTACCATGGGCTCGCCTTCTTACGGTAGCTTCACTACTTTTGAGAAGATTCCAGTCAAGAATGTGAGCATAGAAGATTCTCTTATTATTAATATTTTTATTGTAATTTTTGTGTGTTTTCATTATGTGACGTTCCGTGTTCTGATCTTTTTGCAGGCTAATGGAGAGGAGGAAATTATAACTCCGGTGAGGCGGTCAAACAGGATTAAGAATTATCACTAATTCACTTTCTCTCCATGACAGTTTGCATAATTTGGTTCGGGACGAATTGGGACTCGGTTGATGTTCATTGTATCGATGATAGTTAGTTTCGTTGATTCGTTCGACTTTCGGCTTTTAGTTAGAATGAAGTGTTGTGTGTGTGTGTGTGTGTGTTTCATCAGTGTTGCTTGGCTCACATCTCCTGATGTGAAAATTGGACAGGAAATGGTTTTATTGTGACTCAGTGTTTCTGATTTTTTTAACATAAAATTTTGGAAAGCTGTATTTTTTCCCCCTTCTTTTAAGTGTTTTATTTTTCCTTTTTTTTTCTTTCTTTTTTTTTTAATAAAAAAATAATGGTTGAACTGTCAAGTGACCAAAAAACTTTATTTTGCACAAAATGGCTGAAAAAATATATATCCTTTAGATAATATGTTAAATAATTCAAGCCCTGATCTTGAAAATAAAATTACAGGGACCCTTTTGACCAAGAATTACTGATAGTAATTGCAACAATAACCACCTTAAAATCCATAGGCTCAACAACCAAACCATAAAAAAGCAAACAACCAAACCTCCAGTGAATAAGTTGAAAAAAATAAAAATAAAAATAATACATTTATTTCTCTGTACAAATATTCACACAAACAAACACACACATTTGTGTGTACAGAGATCACAATTCACAACAAACCAGCAAACCACACAACAATCTACTTATCCAAAAATTGGATGAAAATGGCATAAAGTTATTTACAAAGTAACTGAAAACCCTGAACGAGGGCCGAGCCGGAAAATCACAATCCGGAAAATCATAATTTGGTTAAAAACAGAATTTTTCACACATTCACAGATTGAAGGATAGAAAGAGCAGAAAATATTGCACATATCAACAACTGGAGATTACACGGAGTTACCAGAAAGGACACCACCTGAAAAAAGATGGCAAATTTTCGATCAGACACGAGCCGCAACATATTCAAGAAACGATTCCTTAATTATTTGCATGCAACAATTAAATGGGGTGATTATATGTTGATTGCAAAAGATACCCAGACAAAAAGAACAACTTTCAAAAAAGTTACAAAATGTACCCAGAGATTTTAGATTTTATTTTGCCATATATCCATTCCCCATTTCAGATTTTAGGTTTTACTCGGGGGCTTTTTTAGCAACTTTTGAAGCTGGGTTTATTTGTAATTAGGTAAAAGTTTAATAGGGTAATTTTGTAATCATGCCATGTTTAATAGAACAAACAATATTTTTCTTGATATTAATAGAAAAACATACCCAACGTAATTTTGGCACAAATTTTCATGCGATGTCGCTTGGAGTATAAGCTTCTCAACTTGCACCTTGACAGACAATCCATGTTCTGCCTCGTGAGCATCTCCAGGGACCAAGCTACTTTGTTGATCCAGATAACTCTGCACGGAGCTAGACGAGAATGAAGAGAAATCCCTTCCGGTGAGTTTGTTGCTCATCCGTGCCATAACAACAACCGCTCGTTCGTTCAGAACTTCATTGGCATCGCCCAGTTGATTCACAGCCTAAATAGACAAAAGTTTTAAAATCTTGAG